AAACTCTCTAATTTTAAGAGATTGGAAGGTTCTTTTTATGGGTAAAAGGTAAAATTTTTAACCGACTTATTTTTATTTTTTTGTTAAAACTTATAATATTATGTCATTACTAATTACTTTTGAAGGAATCGACGGAAGTGGTAAAACCACTCTCATTAATAACCTCAAAAAAAGTGTTGAATTAGACTTGATAACCCATAATTGGCGAGACACTGAATTAGGACAGAAAATTTGGCATTTGCTTAATGAAACCCGTGCCGAAGGAAAAAAAGATTTGCCCAGCACTTGAACTTATATTTTTCTCATTTTTTCGGCTTTTGATGAATTAAGCCAGAAAATAATTAAGCCTAATTTACGAGAAAATAAAGTAGTAATTATTGATCGATATATTGATAGTACTTTGGTTTATCAAGCTTTAGAGGGAAAGTTAGGAGTTAGTATCGTTCAGGAAATTGCCAAAAAAACCATTAATTTGCCTTTACCTGATATCACCTTTGTCTTAGATATTGACCCCCAACAAGCTCAAGAGAGGTTAAAAAAAAGAAAACTAACTACTGGTGAATATACTAATTGAGATAATTTAAAGTTAGAGTTTCATCACCGAATTAGAAATTATTATTTAGAATTAAAAAAAATCTTTCCAGAAAGAATTTACCTGGTTAAGGCTGACCAAACAGAAGAAGAAGTTTTAACTGAGGTGCAGGACATAATCAAACAAGTTTATTTGCCAAAAAAAGAAGTTATTTTACCTCAGTATGTTCGAGTAGTTATCCAAAATGAACAAGAAGAATTTTTGGTGGTGAAAGATAAATGAGGTTGGAACTTTCCGGGTGGCAAAATAGAGCCCGGAGAAACTCCAGAGTTAGCTGCTAAAAGAGAATTGTTCGAAGAAACTAATTTGGTAGTAGAAAATCTCAAAAAAATTACGGAAGGAAATACCTTTTACGCCAATTTGCCAAAAGGTAAACAGTATTGAAAAGGTTATTATTTTCAAGTCAATCAATACTCGGGAGAACTGAAAATTAAAGAGCAAGAAAAAATATTCGCGATTAAGTTTATGAGTTATCATTCTCCGGAAAATAACCAAAAGCAGCAACCTTACCAATTTTACCTAGAAAGAATTAAAAATTTAAAAAAATATGCCAAAAAATCAATCTAATTCGCCAAAAAAAGAAAAAACTCAAATTAGTTGATTTTATTTGTTTCGAAAATTCACTTCCCCGACTTTAATTCATTATGTTTTAGGAGCTTTTAGTGCTTTTTTAAGTTCAAAATTATTAGTTGAAATAGGGAAAATTGTAAAAGCGGGTGATTTATCATATGTGAAAAGTAATTGAGTAGAAATATTAATCCGTTTGATTATCTACACTCTTATTGTTTATGCTCATATTGCATGAGGAGTATTTTTAGAGGAATTATATAGTTCTCATTTAAGAGAAAAACTAGCCCAAAAATACCTTCAAGCTAACTTTTCACAAACCCAAAAAGCTAAATTCATTTTAAGCAATTATGAAAGCGATGCAATAACGGTAGGAGTAAAAGCGACCCAAATTTTTAATCGTTCTTTTTATGGTATTCTTTCTATCTTCTTAGTTTTCTTTGACCTATGAGAAGACAAAGATACCAAAATAATTATCCCTTGACTGTTACTGATTTTACTTATTTTGACCGTCACTGCTGTTTTACTTTATCAGTTATCTTATCATTATCGAACTCGGAGAAACCGTGCTATCCAAAGAGAAAATAAACACTTCGAAGAAATAAAGGATAATGTTGAATATGTTAAAATTAGTGGAGCCGAAAAAAAGGAAATAGCTAAGAATAAGAAGCTAATAAAAAATGATACAAAAAATATGTTATTTTTTGCCCTTTCTAAGTCTCTTTATGCTACAATTCCTAATTATGCAATGCTTAAATATTTGCCTATAACCCTTTTATTTTTAGTGCAAGAATGATATTGAGTTTCGTTGTATATTTGATTGCAAGACTTGTTTGACAATTGAAAAAAAGTATTTGAAATGTTTTGGGCTTACGGAGGTTATGACACTTATTGTGCTAGTCTAAAACAGTTAAATAACGCTTTCGCAATTTTAGAACAAGATGCTGATTTTCCTGTCGAAACTTTTAAAAAGCTTTCGCTTGCGGTTAAATCTTCGGTTAGTTTTCAAAACGTCGCTTTCATTTATCCCAAGACTAATGCAAAAATATTAGATAATTTTTCTTTCAACTTTCAAAGCGGTAAAAAATACGTGATTATTGGACCTAACGGAGTTGGTAAAAGCACCTTATTTAAATTAATTGTTAAACTTTATCAGCCGCAACAAGGAGTTA